GGCTTGTCATGCTTGGCAGGTCGTCTCCGAAGGCATCTGGTACAATAGAGCAAAAGAGGCGTCTACAGACGCGCAGGCCGATCGTGGGAGCGCTTAGGTTTTGCCCGTAAGAGTTCTCCCACACTTCTAGTTTCACACTAAACCTTAGGACATAAAGCCCAAACCGCCAAGACCCTAAAGCCCTAAGCCCAAACCCTAAAACCCTGAAGCCCTAAACCCTAAAACCCAAAACCCTAAGCCTTCAGACCTGACATGATAAACCCTACACCCTAAACCGAAAACCCTAATCCCTAGACCCCAAACCGAAAAACCCGAAGCCTCAAGCCCTAAACCCACAAGACTCGACGCCTTGAGACCTGACATAGGTATGGCTTTCCGAGCAGGCCGTAGCCCACACTTGCATAAGACTCCCGGCTTCTGGTCCTTCCAAAAAGCGGGGGGGGGGGGTTACGGGTTTAGGGGTTTATAAGGGTTTAGGGGTTTTGGGGTTTGGGGGTTTTAGGGTTTTAGGGTTTAGGGTTTAGGGGTGGAGGGGTTTAGGGGTTGGGGTTTAGGGGTTTAGGGTTTAGGGCGGCTTCGGGTCCTTCCAAAAAGGGTGGGGACTCTCTGCTTGCGGTCACTTCAAGGCTTCCCTTGTGGGGTTCGTCGCTAAGGGTTAGTGTTGGGTTTAGGATTTAGGAGGGTTTAGGATTCGTCACTTTAAGGGTTAAGGGTTAGTGTTGGGTTTAGGGTTCTAGGGTTTAGGAGTTAGGAGGGTTCAGCCGGTTCAGGGTATACTGTAGGGCTTGCCTTTAAGCGTTAGTATAGGCTTTCCTCTAAGGGTTCTTTCAAGGTTTACTTTTGGCTTCCTTCAAGGGCTGCTTGGGTTTAGGGTCCTGGTTGTGGGGCTTTTAGGCTTTGAGGGGTGAGGCTTCTGGCCGGGGTTTAGGGTTTAGAGCTTCCTTTAAAAGGGATTTCTGATAGGTCAGTTCGAGGGTAAGAGATTTCTATCGGGTTTCGCTCGCTTTTTCAGACTCAACGGTTCCTTTCTTGGCCTCTTTTCAGCGCTTCTCTGTAAGGGTTTCTGAAGAGATTTCTTATAGCGTGTTACAAGGGCTAAGGGGCTGCCTGTTTGGTCCTTTCGGGGCTCCTACAAGGTTACCTACATTGTTACTATAGAATGAGATTTAACATCGTCTTTTGGTGTTTAGGGTTTAGGGTCTAAAGTTTCGGGGGTTGCGGTGTTGATTTACGGGGTTTAGGGCTTGGGTTTAGGTTTAAGGGCTACAGGGGCTGTCTAAGGCTTTGGTGCTTCAGGGCGGGGTTATCCCTAAAGTGCCCCTCAACCCTAAACCCTAAACCCTAAACCCGTCCCGAATAGGGCTTATGCCACTAGGGTTTGGCAGCTCAAAGGCCTGGACTTAGCTTCACGCGTTGCCGTCTCGTGAAGTCTTGGTGCAGACAAGTTCTGAACTCAAAAAACCACGAAACGCATTTTTTGTCGAGTCGGGGTAGACATTGATCCTAATCCCTAAGTCCTAATATAAGCCGTCGCGACATGTTGCGAATGTGTTTCACGGATCCCAACTGGACCGGCAGCACCACCTTCTTGCAAGGACCCGGCCTTGCGGTACTACAGAAGCCTAGATAATTGCCACTATTTTTCTATAGGGTTCCCCCATTATAACTATACTATACAGGAGCCCAAAACCCAACTCCAATTACTAAGGCCCCTACATTATTGATTTCTAGACTGGATGACGGTTCCTGCAGTTGGTGCTTAGGGCTCTGTGCTGCGCAGTGTTCTGCAGCACTTTTGAAGGTAGTCCGTTTTCGGACGGACTTGTCACTTGTAGGCTACCCTAAACCCTAAACCCTAAGCCCTAAGCCCTAAACCCTAAACCCTTTGTGATGATTTTGCTGAGGACATTCTTCCAGCCTTGGATCACTCTGGCCCGTGAGTTGGGCTACCTGTCGAACTTAGCCTTCCGAGGTTTAGGGTTTAGGGCTTAGGGCCGTCAAAGGACTCCTAGTTTGAAGGATTTTGGGCCCAAAGACCCTATTATATGAGGCTTTTGAGCTATTTTGATGCTCAGGGTTAGGATTCAGCTGGTCGAGGTTGACAAGCAAATAAGCAAACAAGCAAGCAAGCAAGCAAGCAAGCATACAGCCAAATTCACACACCCACAAACGCCTACATAGCACACGAATTGCACTCAGGGCTTTGGGCTTTTTTGCGTAAGTATGAAAGTACTTGTTAACTATATGAGTATGTATGTACGTATGCATGGTTGCACTCCTGTCTCCTGTATGCATGAATACATCCAGGTGTTCATGCATGCATGTGTGTAAATATGTTCGTGCGTGCTACGTATAGTAGTGCTCTTTCAGCGCCGATACGACTACTCGTAGTAGTATCAGACAGTAGCAACAACCATAGTAGCATTAGCAATGGTATGGGTGTCAGTAGCTACTAGAAAGATCTGATAAGAGTGTTCGAAATCGTAGTAATACCCATACACGAAAATACAATTAATACCACCTTCGATTTAATGCGGTATGTTATGATACAAGTGCATTAGCTGACATATGTTATATCTGGTGAGTGTATACACAGAACTGTAATCTCCAGCATATTCCACGGTGATCATAATTCTAAAAAGCCTCTGTACTGCACTGAAAGTACCAGGATACGAGCAGCACTGATACTGATAAGCGTACTTTGAGTTATGGGCGAATGCGTAACGTGCTGGTTTGAATGCCTTCTGTCGATGCAGAAAGCTTCTCATGATGCGCGACAACTCTAAGAGCGTTTCATACCCTCAGGGTCCAAGTTCTCATTGTTTAAGGACTTTGGGGGCCTGTTTGGGTACTGCACCAAAAACCAAAACAAGGAGAACTTGGTTTTTAGGGTTCATGGTTTAGAACACTAAACCCGACGCTCTGGAAGAGCGTGAGGCTTGCTGGGGGCGGGAGGGCACTTGATTTTAGCGGCAGTGGTTCAGTTTAGATGTTAGGGTTGATTTGGTTTGGGGCTGGCGAGTCGATGTTTCAGTTGTGTAAGTCTCAATGTGAAGGTCCATTTCGGGGTGTTGCATGTTCTTGCAAAGCCTTTCTAGAGAGTGCTTGCAATGTTTTTGATGATTCAAGCTGGCTATCCACAAACATGACAGATATCTCCGCTGATTTTGATGGATTTAAGACTTCGGCTCTTTTGATTGCTTGTGTGGCCCGAGCATTCTTTCTCAAACCCCTGAAATTCATGAGCAGACCTTGGCCTCTAAGTCCCTATCCCTCCCTCCCAGCGTTCCTGAATGAGGCCACAACAAAGACCCGGCAATGCTAAGATACTATAGGGGCCTTAATAGTTAGAATATTGTTTGGGGGCCCATTATACTACAGTTATAATAAGGGACCCCCCAAATAGTATAGCCAGCCCCCAACCCTGAAATCCTAAACCTTAAACCTTCACCCTGGGCCCACGGCCCAGACCAAGCACCAGCGCAATCACCAGAGAGCGTCACACCGGCTCAGGTTTATAGGGTTTAGGGTTTAGGGTTCAGGGTCTAGGGTTTAGGGTTTGGGCTTTAGGGGTTTAGGGTTTAGGGTTGAGGGTTTCCTGGACGACGTAAACCCAAGAGCCCTCAAGCCAAGAGTTTACGGTTTCATATCAGGGTGCAGGGTAAACCCTAGCACCCAAAGCCAAAAGAGCAGTAAACCCTAAACAATGAACAAAAACCGGTAAAACCTCCAAAACCCCCAAACTCTAAATCCTAAATCACAAAACCCTTAAACCGTTAAAACCCCTGAAGCCATCCAAGCCCTAAGCCCTAAATCCTAAACAAGAGCCGTACCTGGGTGTCCCCAAACCTACCGTTTTACGGGTTAGACCCTAGAAGTAGGAGTCATAATCTACTAGTTCGTAGGGTTGGGGGATACAGGTAAGCACCGCAAAAAACTCCAATGTATGCTAGAATGGGCCCCGAAACCCTAGTCTAATTTTTAAGGCCCTTATATTACCGTTCCGAATCTGAGGCTTCGTGGAGCTTGCTGGGGCTCTGGAGTGCTGCCGCTGCAATGACTGGAGGTGCCCATCTATAGGGTTTAGGGAGTCTAGGGTTTAGGGAGTTTGGGGGGTTTAGGGAGTCTAGGGTTTAGGGGTTTCGGGAGTTTAGGGGTTTAGGGAGTAAGAATTAGGGTTTCGGGCTTAGGGAGTTTCGGGAGTCTAGGGTTTAGAGTTTAGGGCTTAGGGAGTTTAGGGAGTCTAGGGTTTAGGGGTTAAGGGAGTTTAGGGGTTTAGGGAGTCTAGGGTCTTAGGCTTTCGGGAGTTTAGGGGTTTAGGGAGTCTAGGGTTTCGGGGTTTAAAGAGTTTAGGGAATTTAGGGTTAAAGTTTAGGGGTGAATCCATTGGCGAGGTGTTTGAAGGGTGATGGGTACTACGGTTAAGAGTACAACGGTGGTTCCCTTACCAACGCCGCCTCCTCCACCCTAAAACCCACATGAAAACTGCTAAAACCCTGACAAAGATCCGGTAGAACCCCCATATCCCTTCACCCCGCCTAAAACCGGCAAAAGCCAGTAAAGCAGCAAAGAAACTTTTACCTAAACCCTAGCCGCAAGCCCTAAACCCGCGTACACTCTGAAACCCCAAGCCCTAACCCCAAGCCCTGAACCCGCATACACTCTGAAGCCCCAAACCCTAACCCCAAGCCCTAAACCCGCGTACACTCTGAAACCCCAAACCCTAACCCCAAGCCCTAAACCCGTATACACTCTAGCCTCTGAGCCTCACCCATGAAGACTAAAGCACTGGCTGATCAGGAAGATGACATCCCTGAACTCGACGAGCAGTCAGGCCTTTGAGGGTTCAGAGTTTGGGTTTAGGGTTTAGGGCTTCAGGGTTTTCGGGTTTAGGGTTTAGGGCTTCAGGGTTTTATTTTAAATTTAAGGTTTTCGGATTTAGGGCTTAGGGCTTTGGGTTATAGGGTTTCGGGTTTAGGGTTTCCCTACAGGCTCGCATTGTGGTTCCTTTTCGGGCTGAACCAGTTCTATGTTTAGGATCCTATATGGTAATCCCAAAAAGAAACTACGATGAAGACTGCAGGAGGTAGGGTTCAGGGTTGAGAGTCTTAAGTCTTATACGGCCCAGGGTATAGGGTTCAAGGGTTCGTGCTTAGGTTGTGCGGGTTCCTTGGTGGTTCCTTAAAAGCTGTCACATAAGTCATTGTTAACACAACTGTATAGTATATCCCTCCTCAGCCCTTTGTCGAATTTTCGAGGCTCCTACAGTACGCGTTCAAGACTTTAGGGTTAAGGGTCGCTGGATCCCTAAACCCTAAACCCTAAACCGGGTTTCAGGGTGTAGGGCTTGACGTTTAGAGCATTCTGGCCCGGTGGACTTGAAGTATGCGGGTTTAGGGTTTAGGGTTTAGGGTTTAGGGTTTAGGGTACCAATCCGGGTTTTTTGTTGTAGCTGAACAGGATCTCGACCGCATCCCGACCATGACTCTACCCTGAGCTACCAAAACCTACCGTTTTGTAGGGTCCCTATAAATTCTATATTAGGTTTCACAATAAGAACCTACAAAAGAGTAGGTTATGGTAGTTTAAGGTAGACTTTAAACTCTAAGCACTATAAACCCTAAACCAAGCGAGTCAAATCTGGGAAGTGTAAGACAGCCTTCGAAGGCTAGGCTTTTGCTGTCACTGTTGCACAACCTTCTCCCACTACTGCTCGAGTTGTTTTCATGGCGCAAAGTCATGGTATAGAAGGGGTTTACCCATAGGCCCCATAGTAGTTCCTTTTTGGGGTTACCCCTTATAGGATTCTAAATATGAACCCCCAAAAGAACTACTTTAGGGCCTATGAGTATGCACAAGAAGCGCACATGGGGTAGTTTTCTAAATTAGGGTCCCTTTTGGGGTCCTTTTTATAAGGGTGCCGTACTCTGTTGGGGACCCAAAAAGGGACCCTAATTTAGAGAACTACCCACATATTTGGCCGGGATTGGAAGATTCTGGCATTGCCAGGAAGCACTTCAAGCAGGTTCGTGCACCAACCCTGTACCCACGGCGTGTCGTAATGCATGTCAGCCATGGCAAACCAGGCACTGCATGTCAGGTTGTCATTGGCAGATGTTTCCATACTACGCGGCCAAAAGTCCAAATGGATGGTTCTCTAAATTAGGGTCCCTTTTTAGGTCCCCAATATAGTACGGCACCTTTGTAAAAAGGACCCCAAAAGGGACCCTAATTTAGAAAACTACCCAAATCGTAAAAAGTCCAAAGAAGCTCCCAACTGTCTGTCAGCGACGAGCAGCTCCCTCGCCATACTTGGAGGGTCGGGGGACGTAGTAAGTACTTATTTTACTTATTTTGTGGCGGTTTAGGGTTTAGGGTTTGGTATCATGCATAGCCCCTATTAGGATCCCTTTTAGGGTACTTATCAACCTACTTAGCACCTCCTTGCTAAGTCCCCCGTCTCTCCAAGTAAGGACCTAAGCAATACCGCAGGCTTTTCAGACTAGGCAGGGTCCAACGTTTAGAGGTCTGCATAAGTCCGTAGCAATACGCAGGAATAGCATCCCTTGATATTCCGTTTATAATCGTAAAATAAAATACCCCAGAACCTCTTCTAGTATCAAGCCTCCTAGGTCTACGAGAAGGTGTCATACGAGTCATACAGCCTTTCACCATGCTCAAACCCCGCCTCATCCACTCGTTGATGCCTTCTCCTCGCGAGAAGCCTGCGCTCAAACCTAAACCGCCATAGCCCCTGAAACATAAACCCATACAGGTCTATTGCTGCACTACAACATTGTGACAACGTATGTAGTGTCTCCGGGCCCTCAGTAAACCTTTATGTATCATCTATACGGCATATTATCCCCAATGCCTTGCAGAACTCCACGATGTCCGTCCGGCGGCACGGGTCGCAGAAGAGTACATCCAGCAAGCGTTCTTCGCCTTCACATTCGCTGTCTGGCATGGCGCACAAGCCACTGGGCATCTTAGCGCCAGGGCTTCGCAAGCTCTCAGAAAAGAAAACAATAGAATACAAGGTCGAGCATAACGAAACCTGATACTGTAGGTTCATGGAGTATACCTGCAATAGATATAGGTTATAGGATTACCTCTTCAACCACAGCTACAGGTACTGTTGATGGACAAAATCCTGCATGACCTTAAGGACCTTAAACTATGGGAATTATGGTATATTCCTTATAATGGGTAATGCAGGATTTTGTCCATCAACAGTATGTCTTCCTTCCTTAAAGAGCAAGGAGCGTGGCATCAGATGAGACTTTGAGGTTCCAGAGCGGCTTTCGGGGGGTTTAGGGTTTAGGGTTTAGGGTGGGTCTCATTGCGACGAAAGTGCGAAGGTTTAGGGTTTACCCTAACCTACCAAACTCTTTTTTATGGCGTCCTTATAAATCCCATACTGCATTCGTGTTTGTAAGAACATTCTACAAGACTGTTTTATGGTAGTTTTATCCAGGGTTAGATCCTGAAATTTGTTTTGCTTTTTCATACCAGGGTCCGATCCAGAAGGTCGGTCCAAGTACAAGTGTTGGTCGCATTCTGGAAGGGTGTAGGGTTTAGGGTTTGCGGCCACCCCAAGCCCCAAACCCCTATAGAACCCTTGTGGATCCCTTTAGGGAAACCCCCCTTGTCCCAAGGATCCCTTCCACCTCTCATGGAAACCGATCCCAAACCCTAAACCCTAGACCCTAAACCCTAAACCTCATCCCAAGGCTGCGGGGCCTCCTGTCCCCGACCTCCACCCAGCAGAGCGCCGACGACTCCCTCCCGATGATGTTCAGTCCTCGCTCCGAGGTGAGGGTTTGATGTAGGGGCCTTAATAATTAGGCCCAGGGGACTTAGTAAGTCGGTTATAAGTCAGGTTATAATTGGGGTAACTCCATTTAGGGTACTTATAACTCTGCTTATAACCTACTTACTAAGTCCCCTGGGCCTCCAAGTAATAATTAGAATAGGGTTTGGGGACCCTAAACCCTAAACGCTTTATAGTATATTCAGAATAGGGAAGCCACAAAATCATATAGGTAATTATTTAGGCTTCTATATTAGGGCTTAGGGTTTATGGCTTTGGGCATAGGGTTTTTAGAGCTTAAACAACCCTTCTAAACGCTAAACCCTAAAATAAGGGAACCCCCTAAAAGCCTCCCTTTGTAGGGCTCCTTACTATGGTTTCTGTATCTAAGGCCGCAGGTCCTCGCTCCCAGGTGAAGGTTTAGGGTTTACACTTACAGTAACATCTTCTGGCCAGTTTTGTGTACAATGAATACACGGAACAAGCCCATACATACGTACATACATATCTTGCTAGATATGTGCGAGGTTATGTGTGTACATATGTTTGTATGTGTATATATATATATATACATGTATATGTAGCAAGCGTTAGATGTTTATGTATGTACATGTAGGCTCTATGTTTGTCAAGTCATACACAAGCGCGCTGAACAGGTTTGTGCAGTTAGAGGTACTTTCCCGCAAATCGTGGAGCCTGGTTCTCCATCAGCAATACCTGCCTAAAGGGTCCTAGGTACTGTTACGGGGGATACTTCCCCCAAATCATACGGTTGATGGACAAAATCCTGCATGACCTTAAGGACCCTAAACTATGGAAATTATGGTATATTCCTTATAGTGGGTAGTGCAGGATTTTGTCCATCAACCGTAATACTAACTCTTCATATAGAAACCCTACATTCTGCTATTATAGGTACTTCGGACCCTTTGGGCTGAAGTTTCTAGGTTCCTGAGTAGTACCCTTTTGCCCTTTTTGGTGTAAACTACCCTTATCAAAGCCGATTTTTAGGAAAAAGGGTACCGTTATTATTATGGGGTCACTCAGGAACCCAGGGTTCATCTGCACTTAGAACAACGGTTTAATTACATAGGTTTCGATTAGGCATTAGAGGTTATCGATAACCAAATTCTACAACCATGGCAGCCGTAACAGAGCCGTACTCCCCGCTTTGCGATAGAGCCCCTGAATTCTCAGGCCTGTTCGCTCACGCGTTCTGCTGCGAACACCGAACTCGGATACCTGAACCGTACATTAGCTAGGATGTTCCGTAGTATCATTGTGCTTTTACTTTTTTGGGGTAGTAGTTTTTAATAACATAACTAACCCAAAAAGTATATGCTTTTCCCCAGTTGGTTATTGAACAGCTTAGTTAGGGTTTAGGGCTAAGGTCATGGTTTAAAAGCATTCAGGCCATGAATGGCCCTGAGAACCAGGTTAACCCTAAACTTCAAGCCACATCACTCAGACTGCCCGGTCAAGCCCTTGAAGCCCAACTTCCCAGACCACTCCCCCAAGACTTGGCAGGCAGCTCATCCATCCAAGCCTAAAGCATTGGAGGACTGCTTGCTACGATTAGAGCCCAGAATCCCCTAAACTGAACCCTGAACTTTAAACCCTAAATGCTAAATCCTAAACCCCTGAACCCCTAAACCCTAAACTAAACGTTTGTATGTTTTAGGCTTTGGGTTTTTGTATTTCGGGGCTTAGGCCCAAAAAACTCGACACGTTTAGGCTTTAGGTTTTTGTATTTCGGGGCTTAGGGGCCCCAATTAGGGCCCCTTTTGGGGTACTTATAAGTCTACTTCTTACCTACTTACTGAGTCTCCCGACCCTCCAAGTACACCCCCATCCCAAAGCTCTAAGCACGAAACCCTGAAACCTTAGTAAACTCATTCCCAATTCTGCTTTACGCTAAGCTCTAACCCCTAGACTAGATCTTAGAGCTTTTTGCTGGTGAGCCAAGGAACTTGGCTTTATTGCGCAATGGGTCAGGGGGGTTAGGGTTCTGTAAATGGTTAGGGTTTAGGGTTTAAGGTTGCGGCTGTCCTTCGCATTGAGATGTGGTTTACCAGCCTTATAGGGGTCCCAAACCCTCAACTTAGGGTTCCTAAACCCTAAACCCTAAACCCCTAAACCCTAAACGCTAAACCGTGCAGGTTTGAGTTTTGATTCGAATTGAGGCATCCTCAACCATAAACCTTCCATAGGATTGGCTTTCTCATGGTGTCAGAGGATTTACAAGAGGGCCTACTTAAAGGATTGTGGGGAGGGCCCTCCCCCAAAAGAGGCCCGATTTAGTGGCTTTAGCTCTTTAAGGGAAGTAGAAAACGTGACAGAGTTACCTTTAAGGGAATGCTAGCCGCCAGCCGGTCTTGGGCAAAAAGGGAGGTCAGCGAATCGGCGAGCACTTTTGCTCGGAGTCTACTGTGGCCTATAGCCCCGGAACCCAATCCTCCTGCCCTGAAAGATTACAGCAGTTTAGGGTTTTGGGTTCAGGGTTTAGGGTTTAGGGTTTAGAGTGCAAGATTACAGCAGTTTAGGGTTTGGGGTTTAGGGTGTTGGGTTAAGTGGTAACTTGTATCCTTATCAAGAGCGCTAGGTGGGTCCAGGGTTGGACATCTTCTCTCATGCCGACAGCTTCGAGGGTTTTGATTTCCAGAGTGTTGAGCTTAGCTTGTGTTTGGTGTCAGAAAGGTCTGGGATGTAGCCTTTAACCTTATATAAACCCTAAACCCTATATTATGGGGTTTAGGGTTTATAGAGTTAAAGGTTACTATCCTTAATCCCAGCGGACGCCGTCGGAACGAGACAATGCGGGCTTTCAGTTGCAGAGCCTGTCAAGGAGAGGTTTCATATCCAGTGTCCAGATCTTCCATTACCCCTTCATTAAGAAATATATACCGTAAATTACATTAGGGATTCTATTCTGGTTTATGGTCTATTCCTTCGTTGCGGGATATGGGAAGATATGGGTAGACGTCGAGTTCAGCAACCTGGAACTCCACCATACACCCCGCAAGGCCCAAGCCTTCGAATCAGGACCCTCTTACCCTATGTCTAGGATTTGGGGTTTATGGGTTTAGAGTGAATCCTTGACCACGGCAGACCTTAAACCGCAAGCTAACCCCCAATTCCCAAACCTTCCACCCTAATGCAGGGGCCTTCCATATTATTTTTGGGGTTCCTTATTATAATCATAGTCTAAGGGGCCCCAAAACCCTGTTCAAACCATATGAATCGGAGATGTTGGACCTTGATCCCAACGCCAACGCTGCCAATACTTCTGCACGGGATGATGGGCGCAAAGCTTGATACAACAAGAAATTCCTAATTCAAAAATGCGTGGTCTTGAAGCTACCAAACTTATAGGTAATGTAGAAGCCTATAAATCGAAAATGCCAACACACGTCCTCAAGGCGTGCATGATAATATGACTGTAGTACAATGTAACCCTACGCCCCAATATAATAATAATTATTATTATCTCAGCAACAGACCC